GATAACTGGATCATTAGTCTGAAGCCTAGGTATGAGAATCGTCGGACTTTAAATCCTCGAATTTGACGTATGGCACATGAATCGAACGCTAAAGAGGACAAATGTCAGACATCCAGTCTGATTTTCATGCACAACAAGGACAAGCGAGGTGCTAAATGAAAGTCAAACCCCCCTTAAGTTGGTTAGGCTTCACTTGAATCAAATTGAAGCGATACACTAGGGGGATATTGGAGGAAATGAGAACAGAATGGTATGAATAGGCAAATGAGCGATGTAAGATGAGTTTAAGAGAAAGAAATGTATCACTAGAAACCGGGACAAAAATCGGAGTGATGCCACAACGGCTAAGCAGAAAATTGACCAGAATTGCATTTCCTTATCACTTTGATGCTTTGTAAATGTGCGTTAAGAATGGCGCCTCACTGAGTATGCCGGCGAAACGTCTTGGAACTTATGACAGAACATACAACCAAGTACGTCCCTCGCGATCAAGTTGCGAAAATGAGACCATGGTGACACTACAGTTAAAGGATACTGCGGTCAAACAAAAGGCTAAATCATCTTGGTCTTTATACTTCTGTTCATTCACTCTTTCTCACGGCTTCTTTGCCGTGTCTCCAAACGGCAATTTACTCTGTCATACTTCACTAATAATTTAAGCGGTTCCTAGTTACACTAACAGATTCTTGTAGTTAGACAAAACTGGAGCCGAGGATTGACCCATAATTCTGGCCGTTTAAATTAGCGTCAACCAACTATCGGTCTCTTAGAAACTGATAATCATTTTCTCATTTTACTTTCGATTACAAAGCCTGTTGTACCGCCTACATCGACACAACCAAACGAGCAAGTCATATCACTTGCTTATCTAACGGCTCTATAATACCGTAAAAAAGTATCAGCCAAGTATAGCAAGATATGTAGATTTTTTCGATTTGTTGCATTCGAATATGTATTTTGGACCCTATACACAATCGAAATGATTGTGCTTTCTGTCATTTTTATCCAAATGGCTTTATGTTTATGGTTATACAAGTAGGCTGATATAAGTCAGTAGGATGTGGCAAATAAAATCAGTCGTGAATCAATACTACAGAAAAATTATGGCGGCCATACACAAGTTGCAAAGCTCTAATGAGAAATGTCAACTGAAGTTATGACAATCCCTGACTCACCAATGGCGACAACCTCGGCATCGCCAATCTTCATTGGATCATTTATTCCACCATGGATCGTATAAAATAAAGACGGGTTGGGTGCGCAGCCTCGCTGCAGCTGGTTGATGATATTTCTCGATATATTCGATCCAGTGGACCCAACCCCAACTCACAAAACACAATACATGAGCACTTTTTCAGTTTCGTGGTGTAGTTATATTACAAGATTTCGGTATCTGCAATTTGTATGTCTATACCCTTGAGCGATCTTTGAAGATTTTATATAATATCTTAAATGCCCATCTTTTTTTAGGACGTTTAGGAGCATCTCGAGGAACTACAGGACGAAGCGGGATAAACAGCCTGACGGGTCCGCAAATTTATCAGAACACCGGCGGTTCAAATATGATCCAGGTTAATCCGGCCCTCGGACACTGGATGCAAACAAACCAGAGGTGGGTGGCTCGACTTCACACAATCAACTTTAATTAACGCTAACTGTTTTTACTTTGCAGCGGTCTTATTCCATTGAACACAGGAAACAGGCCACGTCAAGTCCAAATGAATCAAGGAAGGCGAGATAGAATGATGAGATAAGAATACACTGTTTTGCGATGCATTTAAAATTAAAATACTTTTTCTATAAATGCAATTCAAAAACACATCTTAGCTGAATGGCTTCCGATAGATATATGGTATACAAAATAGGCAAATTCACGTTGGTTGAATCTGGTGGAGCGGCGAAGGGATGGAATTAGAACGTGATAAATCATCAGAGGACAGATTGATAATGGACTTAACATGAACATTGTTTAGGTTTTCTTGCATTTGAAAGTAAGGAACATTATCGCGGGGCTCAACTGTTTTCATCTGCTCGAAGGAAGACTCTCTGTTGGAATTATCGACAGGACTGATTACGGGATGTATAGCATCCGCGAGGTCGTAGTCAGCTCCTTCAACTTCTGCTGGTTCAGGGCAACCATCAAGAAGGCCATCACCCCAGTCTATGGGAAAGCGAGTCACTCGAGGATCAGAGGCTATGATATTGCGTTCGAGCTATGGACAAAACGGAAATGTAGGGAGGCGGCACAGCATTAATTCAAGGTAGTACAAAAATAAACGGTAGAAATAATTAGCGGTTAAAGCAATCGAGGTAAAAAACGTATAGCGTG